CGCCCCGGGTCCCTCTGGACTCCTCGCCTCCCTCCGCAGGGGGCGAGCCGGGTGCCCGCGGCCTAAACCTGCTGATACGCAAAAACGGCCGGACGGTGAATCTGGGCGGCAAGACGTCGGTGACCGTGTACCCTGGGGTAAGGGCCATGGCCTGTCCTGTCCCTCTCCTCTCCCGGCCCCATCCCACAGACGGGGAACAGTTGCAGACATGACCAGAGGCCGAGTTTAATCTGGCCCCCAAAGGAAAGGGGGCGCGTACCAGGCCTCTGTGGTCCCTGGGGGTGGGTGATGGATGCTGCCCTGTGGGGAGGGGACTGCGCAGGTGACAGGGAGGGGCCACAACTGCGCTGAGCCCGTACCCCCCCCAACAGGATGTGTTCTGTCTCCACACGCCCGGCGGCGGTGGCTATGGGGACCCGGAGGACCCCGCCCCACCGCCGGGGTCACCCCCGCAAGCACTGGCCTTTCCCGAGCACGGCAGCGTCTATGAGTACCGCCGTGCCCAGGAGGCTGTGTGAAGGTCCTGCAATAAAGATGCCTTAAGTCACCCGGTTCTGGGGACGCAGCTACGGCGCCTAGTTCGTGCTCCGAGTCCTGTCTGTGCGCGCCGGCTGCACGTCTGTCATCTGTGCCTGCCTTAGGAGGACACCCAGACTCGGAGCTGCAGGTTCACTACCAGGTGGTCCGTGAGCCCCGCCAGGGCGGTACTGAACGTCACCTGCTCCACTTCCTGGGGGCGGGAATCAGGTTGAGGGTCGTCCCAGCGCCGCAGGCCCAGCCACCCGGGCCCTGGCACTCACTGGGCTCAGCAGGCCCCCAGGAACTCCGCAGTACGTGATGTAGTCCAGGTGCTGACCCCTCCAGGGCTTAGCTCGGTGGCTTCTGCCGGGAGGGCCGGCCAGGTAGAGGTAGCGCCCTTTCTCCTGCTCCAGGGTCCTGGAAGGGGGCGGTGTCACCAAGGCCAGGGCCCCTTTGCGCGCTTCAGGCGGGCAGTGCCTACCTCCAGGTCGCCACTCACCGCCTCAGCATCTCGGGGGAGGAGGCCACGGAGTGGTGGAGCACGGAGCTGCGCAGTGCGGTCCCTGGGGGATCTGGGGGAGGGAGGCATCAGCCAGAGCCTCGGCCGACAGCGCTCCCCAGGTCCACTCTGGTACCCTCCCCCCAAGCACGATACCCAGGGCCCAGGGCTGCTCTTGGCGCGTGCCCATCCGGCGGGGGTCCTGGAAGCGGCAGAAGAGCTTGTGCTACTGCTGCAGCGCAGAGAGAGGCTGGAGCGTGGTGGGCGGGGCCGGGCCTCCTGGCTCCGCCCCTGCCTCCCTGCCCTCCCCTCCTGCGGGACCTTTCGAGCAGTTATCGAAGTTTAGGTCGCCCAGGAGCACGCGTAAAGCCACGACCCCTCCACTTTGTTCGCTTTCGGCCTCAAACTTCTCGGCTCAGTCCAGCAGCAGCGTCAGCTGTTTGCTGCGCAAGGGCCCGTCCTCTGCGCGGGGAAGGGGGGTGGGGTGGGCTCGGCTCCAGATTCGGACCCGCATCTTGGACAGTCAGCTCCCGGCTCCCCAGTTCCTGATCTGTGAGCCCGACAGGCACCTCTCAGGAATTCCCATGCCTGGGGCAGTGAACATAGGGCGGGAGGTGGGGGCGGGGTGCAGGCAAATGTAGGGATCAGTAGCCGCCACGGAGAGGCGGGACCTGTTCTGAGGACCCACCCGCAGGGCTCACCAGCCAGTGCTTGCAAGTGCGTGCAGTGCAGGAATCCCACGATGTGGCGCCCGTCCAGGCTGCCCAGCTGCGCCTGCAACACCACGGACGGCCCCAGCTTCCCTCGCCTTCTTGGCCGAACCCCGCCCCCTCTGTGCTCTGGGCGGGGTAGGCCAGTACCTGTGTGGACAGTAGTCCCTTGGAGGCCAGCGTGTCCTCGCCACGCGCGTGGGGGAAGCAACGGAAGGTGGCGCACAGCAGCGGGTAGCGCGAGGCCAGCAGCCCGCTGTCCAGTAGCTTGAGGTGCGGCCCGGTCTGTAGGCCAAGTGTGCCCACATCGTACAGCACCGGGCCCAGGTTGGGCGTCAGGCGATTCACCAAGTGACGAGCTGCGCGCAAATCGAATACCTCCTGCAGGCACACAACGTCCAGACCCATGGGCAGCGAGGCCACCAGCGTCCCACGCGGCGCCCTGGGTCACAGCTGGCTGCAGTCCGTAGCCCTATAGAGCGCGGCGCCAATGGCCTCAGCCGGTCGCTGGCTGTGCGGCAGGTTGCTGAAGCGCGACAGCCTGTCCAGGAGCAGGCACAGATTGGCCATGAGGAAGATGAAGCAGCGCCCGGGTTCCGCAGGCGGGCGCCAGAGCGTGGGCGGCGCCCAGCACAGCGGAGGGGGGCGGTAGCAGAAGGGGCGGCGCCAAACCTGCAGCGCCAGCCAGAGTGGCAGGCGGGTCAGCGCCAAGGGCAGGCCGACCACCACCAGCAGCAGCAGCGCCACGACGCCGCTCGCCGCCCTTCTCAGCCACCCCAGGCTGATCGGGCTCGCCGTTGGTGCACAGCAGCCCAGCAGCTGGTCCAGGGCCCAGTAGGCCGGGGAGAGCAGCTCGTGGGCCAAGCCGTGGAGGGCGTGCAAAGCCGGGTGCGGGAAGGGCGAGGGCCGCAGGGCGTCAGTCGCCCGGGGCCAGTTGGGCGGGGATTGCATGGTACACCTAACTCTTCGGCCGCGGGGCGCCGGGGAGACTCATTGGCTTCCAGAGGACAAGCTGACTCGTCGGTGTATCAGCGCGAGCTGCGGGGGAGTCACAGGGGTGAAGGCCGCGTGGCACAGCGTGTGCGCAAAGCCGGTGAGGTGCTGACCCAGCGAGCCTGGCGGAGGCGCGGGCGTAGGCAGAGGGGCGCTTCAGAAAGAAAACCCAAAAGGGACCTGATCTCAAATCCCCACCCTGGATCCTCCTTGCCCCGCCCTATACACCCGCGAAGGTCACACAGGGAACCTGTGAGGTCCGCCCAACGCAAGCGGGATCGGGATGCAGCCTGCGGCAAGTGGAGGACTACCGTTCTTGAGTGCGGGCTGCGCAGGGCTGGTGAGGAGCAAACAGTGTGCTCTGCCCCCCGGCTCCCCTGTACCCGCCCCCACGCAGGGCAGCATGGAATAAGTCGCCCACTCTGGCTGCCCAGACGGCAGAATCCACCCCACCCGCCGGGCGCGGTGGCTCAAGCCTGTAATCCCAGCACTTTGGGAGGCCGAGACGGGCGGATCACAAGGTCAGGAGATCGAGACCATCCTGGTTAACACGATGAAACCCCGTCTCTACTAAAAAATACAAAAAACTAGCCCGGCGAGGTGGCAGGCGCCTGTAGTCCCAGCTACACGGGAGGCTGAGGCCGGAGAATGGCGTAAACCCGGGAGGCGGAGCTTGCAGTGAGCTGAGATCCACTGCACTCCAGCCTGGGCGACAGAGCTAGACTCCGTCTCAAAAAAAAAAAAAAAAAAAGAATCCACCCACCCGCTAGGCGTCTCTCTGCGGCCCAGTGGTGTCGGGCGCCTGAGTTCAAAGACCTGACACCTGAGGAGGGATGGACTCCCGCCTAGCACCCCACAAAGTCCCCCAAAAGGCCAGCCCGCGGTGGTGATGGCCCTGTGGCCCTACCCCATGGAGCTTCCAATCTAAGGAGAGGGACTGTTGGTTCTGCCCTGCGCGTAGCTCTGCTGCTGCACCCGAGCCAGACAGAAGCGTTTCCCCATTCTCCCCATTCGTGGAGCGCTCTGGCATATCCTCAGGAGCTCCCAGAACAGGATGGCCGGTAGCTCCCAGGCTCTGCTCGCCTCCCACCTTTCTAATTGGGCCTGTGAACCAGCACACACTCTCCCGGTCAGCTGGGTACAAGCGTCTCTTAAATAGCCCTGGGAGTTGGCAGGGAGGTGGGGAGGCTTCTGGCAGAGCTCTTCCCTGCCCTTCCCAGGGACGAAGAGGCTGGATGGCTGGCTGGATTCCCTGGAGGCCTGGGAGTGGGGAGGGCAGAGGCGGGAAGCTCAGCAGCCCAGGCATCCTCGGAGGGCCTGGCACACCCTGCATACCCGCTCCTTCCCTGGACTCCTTGCTGGTTGCTGAAAGATTCCCATTGGAACTCAGACCTTGTGGGTCCACTGTTGCCTCGTGCTATCCTCTATGTCTGGCTGGCAAGCACTGGTGCCCCAGGACCCTCCTCAGTTGGAGTTTTGATCTCCCTCCCATTGCAGCCAGCCTCCTTGCCTTCCTGCCTGCAGACTTGCTCCTGTCTCACCCTGTGGTGTGGGCCCCTCTGCGCTTTCCTACACTGCGCTTCTCCCCTCCCATGTCTTCCTCCCCAGGGACTTCCCATCCTGGCCGGCTCCCTCAGCTTCCTGCACTCTCCACAAGCCCTTCCCAGCACCCCATCTGCCCTTAGTGCACTGTGGGAGGCCCCTGGCCTGCCCCCAAATCCTGCTTGTGCTCCTCAGCTCCTGCAGCAGGTGGCGTCTGCCCTTGCCAGCTCTGAATCCCTCTCAAAGTCTCCAGGACCTGTGGGATGGCCTTGGGTGTCTTGGGAAGGGGCCGCCACTTCGCTGGGCTGCCCCATCCCCAGGTTGGGGTGAGGATGCTTTCTCCTGGCTCTTCTCCCTTGAATGTCCTCTTGTCCTCAAGGCCTGGAAGACTGCCCCCCTCCACCCCTCACCCAGCCCCGGCCTAGTATGGAGGCAGGGATCCCACACCCACATCCTTGTCTCCTCCCACCTCTGCCAGCTCCGTGCCCCTCACCACTGCAGCAGGCACAGAGCCGCAGCCCTTCCCTCCCCGCTCCACCCCTTCCTGGTTCCTACCCTTCCCCATCCAGGTCCCAGGAGCTCCCATTGCTCTCAGTGCCATGGGAGGGGAGCCTGGGGGCCTTCAGACCAACCCCTTGCAGACCACTGCTGAGCCTTGGCCTCTCGGGCTCTCGCAGAGGGTCCAGGATGGGCATTGACCTCCAGGGCAGGCAGGGCTGAAGGGGCACGGTGCAGGGGCCTGGTGAGCCACCTCAGAGGAGGCAGCACCACCCAGGAGTGCTGGCACAGGCCCAGCGACCAGCGTCTGTGGGAAGCTTTAATGGCTGTGCAGAAGACTGTGGGGTTGAGTGAGCCTGGACCTCCCAGCTCCAGCATCACCAGATGAACATGGGCTTGCCGTCGTCGTGCGCCAGCTGGTTGAGGCAGGAGAGCAGCAGCAGCGCATCGGTGAGCATGCTAGGGTGCACGGTCTCCACTAGCACGCGCTGCAGGAAGTCCACAGTGTAGGTGCCGCCCTCAGACGCCGCCAGCTCCGGGCGCTCTCGCAGGATGCCATAGGCGTTCACCAGCTGTTCGGTCAGCGCAGGGTGCACCCGCCCGTTGTAGCCCAGACTCTGCAGCCTGTTCATGATGCTCACGTAACGCTGTGTGAGCATCTGGCACAGCTCCTCGTCCAGCTTGTGGTCACTGGGGTTCAGGGAGGCCTGCGGGGAGAGCGGCCATCAGGGACCCTCCTTTGCCACACCTCCACACACAGGCAGGTAAGGGGAAGACCGAGGGGCACGTGAGGCTGCGAGACGGCCAGGATCCGAGGGGTGTGCGGTGGGGAGGTTCTGCGAGGGACCTCAAGGGTTTAGGACAGGAAAGCCCAGTGGGCAGAGCCAGACAGAGAGGTCTTCAAGGCCTGATCCGGGCTGGGCAGGTGGCTCCCAAAGCTCCCCAGTGGGGCCTCATCCACAGGGTGAAAGAGGATGCCCCAACCCTGTCATCTGCTCCACCCACCACCAGGGATTGCAGTTGGGCTGAGGCCTCCAGGGACTGAGGACAGGGGCCGTGGCTAGGCATCTGGAGGCGCACAGGGTCCCCTGACCCAGGGGTCTGGGGTCTTTCCCAGGCCTCCTCCTGGCTCCCTGCTCTGCTCCCTCTCAGCGTCTGAAGGCCCCCCCTTCCTTACCCTGGCCTCCATCCTCAACACCCTCTAGCCTGCACACCCCCTAGGGAACTCCCTTTCTTCCCCCAGCACTGAACTGACAACCCCAGCCAAGTGTTGGCCCCAGCACTGAGGGGCCTGTCTCCTTCACCTGCCTCCTCCTGGGCCTGAAAACCAGCACATCTGGGTCAGTTTCCACTCACTTCCTCATGCCCTGTGTCCTCCCACCAGCCAGGCAGTGACTGGGTCCCACCCTAAGGCCTGTAATCATGAAGGCAGCCCCTCCCACCCCGCCTGCCACTGCCCCCTGGATGTGTGACCTGGGCAGTTGTGGAAAGCCCAGTGCCCTGCTCAATGCTCTGTTGGCACCATCCTGAAATTCTAAGTTTTGAATTATTTTCATTTTGCACTGGGCCCTGCCAATTTTGCAGCCTGTCTCAGGTGCAGCTGCCCCCACCTCCAGGCTTGGCCCTGCCCACTCTCTGCACAGGCCCACAGAGCCACGGGTCTGAAGTGGAGTTGGGTGGGCTAGCCCCTGCCTGAGCTCCTCGTATAGTTTCCACTGCTCCAACACTTGGGGGAGGGCCACCCTCCAGTGTCCCCCAATCTGTCCCTGCACCTCTCTTCCAGCTACGTCCTACTGTGTCCCAGATGCCTGACGTGGTGGTCCCCAACCTCCTGGGAACACTCTTGCCCAGACAAGCTGTTCAGGCACCACCCCTTGGGGAAGGCTCCCAGGCTGGTCGTCGTGTGTGCAGGGTACCAGGCTTGGGGCTGGACTTAGGACTGGGCCCAGTTAATGTGACGCCAACCTCTGCTAAGTGCTCCCAGAGCCTGCGCTCAGCACCCCTGTTGCCTGGGACGTGCCTGGGATGCGCCCGTCTCTCCCCAGCGGGAGGTTCTTGGCCCCTGAGCCTTCTAGGCAAATGAGCAATATGCACAGCTGTGGGAGCAGGAAGACACCATTGAGATTCAGCACAGGAGTAAGGGCCCGCGGACAGCCATGCTTAACGGCTGCTTCTGCACCACCCTGGGCCTGAGCCTCAGTTTTGCTGCTGGGATGTGAAGGAAATCGTGGTGCCACCTGCAGGAGTGTTCTGAGGGTTACAGGCAGCGGCCCCGGTGAGCACTGAGCACCAGGTCACGCGGGGGCCCCCACCCCGGGGAATGGCAGTGCCCTCACATCTCACAGTGCAGCGAGTTGTGTCTTGTTGTTGTTTTGAGACGGAGTCTTGCTCTGTCGCCCAGGGTGGAGTGCAGTGGTTCGATCTCGGCTCGCTGCAACCTCCGCCTCCCGGGTTCAAGGGATTCTTCTGCCTCAGCCTCCTAAGTAGCTGGGATTACAGGCGCATGCCACCACGCCCGGCTAATGTTTTAGTATTTTTAGTAGAGACGGGGTTTCATCACGTTGGCCAGGCTGGTCTCAAACTTCTGACTTCAGGTGATCTGCCTGCCTCGGCTTCCTACAGTGCTGGGATGACAGGCGTGAGCCACCACGCCTGGCTGAGGTGTGTCAGTTGTGTCTTATAAATATCACCCTGTCTTAAAAATATTCCTTCAAGGCCAGGCATGGTGGCTTACACCTGGCCACAGCTCAAGCCTCAGTTTGGGAGGCTGAGGCAAGAGAATTGCTTGAACTTGGGAGACGGAGGTTGCAGTGAGCCAAGGTTGGGCCTCTGCACTCTAGCCTGGGTGACAGAGCAAGACTCTGTCTCAAAAAAAAAAAAAAAAATTTAAGGCTGGGCTCATGCCTGTAATCCCAGCACTTTGGGAGGCAGAGGCAGGCGGATCACTTGAGGCAGGGAGTTTGAGACCAGCCTGGCCAACACGGCAAAACCCCATCTCTACCAAAAAAATACACAAAAATTAGCCAAGTATGGTGGCGGGTGCCTGTAATCCCAGCTACTTGAGAGGCTGAGGCAGGAGAATTGCTTGAACCCAGGAGGTGGAGGCTGCAGAGAGCTGAGATGTACCACTGCACTCCAGCCTGGGTGACAGGATCAAGACTCTGTCTCAAAAATAAATAAATAAATAAATATTTTTTTAAAATAAACAAATTAGCCAGGTGTGTTGGTGCACGCCTGTAGTCCCAGTTAGCAGGGAGGCTAAGATGGGAGGGCCACTTGAGTGAACCATGGTTATGCCACTGCACTCCAGCCTGGGCGACAGAGTGAGACCCCATCTTAAAAAAAGGTTGCGGCCGGGCGCGGTGGCTCAAGCCTGTAATCCCAGCACTTTGGAAGGCTGAGACAGGCGGATGACGAGGTCAGGAGATCGAGACCATCCTGGCTAACACGGTGAAACCCCGTCTCTACTAAAAAGTACAAAAAAACTAGCCGGGCGAGGTGGCGGGTGCCTGTAGTCCCAGCTACTTGAGAGGCTGAGGCAGGAGAATGGCGTGAACCCGGGAGGTGGAGCTTGCAGTGAGCCGAGATCATGCCGCTGCCCTCCAGCCTGGGCGACAGAGCGAGACTCCATCTCAAAAAAAAAAAAAAGTTGCAGTAGGGAAAGGCTGTGAAGAAGTCCTCTCGCACGCAGGCCTGTAACAGGATTTATCACAAAAACTTCCTCAAGAGTGCAGGATTCCAAGACACTGCTTGCTCAAGGCCACTCGCTTAACAGTGGCCTTCACCAATGAACAAAGCCACTGCAGTGAGCTTCTGTGACTTCTAAACTTGGTTTCAAGGCAGCTTACATGGACGTCTCTGTCTTTAAAAGCTTCCCTTTTGGGGCCAGGCGCGGTGGCTCATGCCTGTAATCCCAGCACTTTGGGAGGCTGAGGCGGGCGGATCACCTGAGGTCGGGAGTTTGAGACCAGCCTGGCCAACATGGAGAAAACCTGTCTCTACTAAAACTACAAAAGAGTTAGCCGGGCGTGGTGGTGCGTGCCTGTAATCCCAACTACTTGGGAGGCTGAGGCAGGAGAATTGCTTGAACCTGGGAGGCAGAGGTTGTAGTGATCCAAGATCGCACCATTACGCTGCAGTCTGGGCGACAAGAGCGAAGCACCATCTCAAACAACAACAACAACAACAAAACAACAAAATATATATATATGTATGTTAGCTGGGCGTGGTAGTGTAAACCTGTGGTCACCAGCTACTTGGGAGGCTTGAACCCTCAGGAGTTCATGCTTGCAGTGAGCTAGGATCACGCCACTGTTCTTCAGCCTGGGCTGTCTTGAAAGAAGAGGCTGGGGCAGCGGAATCGTTTGAACTGAGAGGCAGAGGTTGCAGTGAGCTGGGTACATACACTATTGTGTACTCTTTTTTTTTTTCAGGTGGAGTCTTGGTTTGTTGCCCAGGCTAGAGTGTAATGGCGCAATCTCAGCTCACCCTGGGCAGGTGACAGAGCGAGAGTCCATCTGAAAACAAAAAACACGAACAAACAAAAACCTCCACACACAAAACTAACCAAAGGATACTTTAACCAGAGGCAAAGCTCAAACCTGGACCCACGCGGCTCACAGTAGCTCCTGCTCAGGCTACACAGAGGCCTGCAATCCACAGATAATCACAGCTGGAGAGAAAAAGCGGCCGGGAGTGCGGCTGGGCTGTTTTCTCAAGAGAAGCCTGAGTGGTAAGTAGCAATGCAGCTGCCCTCCCTGCCCGGCAGGCGCACACCCCCAATCCAGCTTCCCCGTGCCTTCTACAGCCTGCCACACGCATGGCACAGACGCACACTCGGGCGTGTTGGCAAAGCATCATTCTCCACATGTGTCCACAGAGGAGGCCATCCTGGTGGCAAAGGGCAAGAGCCGCCCGACCTTGCTGAAACCCCCCACCTCGCCTTCCTCCGAGGAGACCTTGGGCTCCCACTGCCAGATGCCCCAACACCCGCCGGCCGCTGGCACTGAGCAGTCAGCTTCCTCTATCCCAGGGACTCCTCAGGTCATGGCATGTTTGGCCTGGCCAGAATGCAGGGTCCCCACAGCCCCTCATGGGCCAGCCTGCCCCCTGTCCCTGCAGGCCCCTGGCCACACACCTGGATGATCTTCTCCGGGATGTTGGAGACAGTGAAGCCATAGAGCCGCACGCGCTCTGGGAAGATGCTGGACAGGATCCTTCGGTCCAGCTGGAAGGCGATCTCACCCACCAGCCTCTCCCAGGCCAGCTGCTTCGACTCTGGGGACACAGGGTCTCATCAGCCCAGGTGAGAGGGTGAGAGGGACTGGGGTCAGCAGCCCAGGCAGGCGGCAGGGAGAGGGCCTGGGGGCCCGACCCGCATGGAGCCCGCAGTGTCACTGACCTCGGGCGCTCTCGGGGAACTTGCTCGTCTTGCGGTGGGCCAGCTTCCGTTCCACCTCCATCATGCTCTTCCTTGATGGTTCTGTGGCGCGTGGACCCCGAGAGTCATTGACTGAAGCCGGGGAGGATGATGTACGAGGTGGGGAGTGGGGGTTGTGTGGAGGAGAGTGGGGGGTAGGCAGGTTCCGGGTTGGGGAATTGTGCATTCGGGAAGGGGGATGGGGGGCACCCTGGGCAATGTGGGTGGTGCTTGAGGGGGTGTAGCTGGTGGCAACCTGGGGGGTGAGGGCGGGGGCAGAGGCAAGGACAGTGACTGTGGGGGAGGTAGTGGGGGAGCTGGGGACAGATGCAGGGACCACTTGTTCCTGGGTGGCACTGGGCTGAGTCTGTGTGTCTGAAGTGTTGAAGGAGAAGGCTGTCTCGGGAGCAGGTGTGCCCATGGCTCCGATGGGGGTGGAGGTCTGGAGGGGTGTGCCTGCAAACGCCGTGCTGAGAGGCTCTGGGTCCTGGGTCGACCGGGGGGGCTCAGTGGAGAGTGGGACTAGTGATGTGGAGGGGACAGAAATGAAAGGAGGGGTATTAGAGTGAGGTGGGAGGGCTCTGCCCCGCCCACTCTGCCACCCACCACCCAGCACACCCGTTACCTTTGGTGGTGGCAGCAGGTACCATGCAAGCTGGGGAGTGGGGCCCAGAGGGGCCTCTGCGGAGGGGCTCAGCCAGCCGCAGCCTTGGGGCCTCTGGCAGGACCTGGTTGCCCATGGGGTTGGCCAGCAGGTTCTGAGAGACCCCTAGTGGGGTGGCAGTGGAGCTGAGGAGGGGGCTGCTCAGAGAGACGGCCACCGTGCCCGTCACGGGGGCTATCAGGGGGCTGCTCTGGGACACGGCCACAGGGCCTGCCAGGGGGCTGCTGGGAGTCAGGGGGCCAGTGGAGGGCAGGCCCAGGGAACTGGCCAGTGTGCCCGTTGGGGGCCCCGCCACGGGGCTGGTCAGGAAGCCGGTGAGGGGGCTGCTCTGTGACAGGGGTGCTGGGCCGGACAGCAGCGTGCTGAGGGTGCCTGTCAGGGGGCTCATGAGTGAGCCCGGCATGGTGCTGGGCTGCAAGCTGGTTAGCATCTCGGCCAGGGGTGTCAAGGCCATGATCCCCACTTCTTCCAGGACTGGTTCATTTGCCACTGCTGGGGACGGGGGCAGGAAGACACCTGGGAACACAGAGAAAGCACTGAGGCTCTAGGGGAGCCCCTCCAGACCAAGGGGAGGGTGGTCGCAGGCTCTCCCTCTGTGGTAGGGCCTGGCCACGGTGCCCATCTGTCCCCGATGAGCTGACTGTTCTGACCTGGCCTCTCCAAGCCTCACTTCTTAGGCAGGCCAGGGTGGTGGCCTCTCTGCCTCTGTGGGGAGTCTGTGCCTGCTCAGAGGAGCCTGGGAGTGGTTCCCCAAGGCCTCATCTCCAGCCCTGATTTTTGTGTCAGTTCTCCCAGGCTCACTTCTCGGACCACTTGCCCACTGCCCCCAGCCAGGGGGACGTCCCGCTGCCCTTTCCTCAACCGTGCCCACCCCTTGCCCAGCAGAGGGTCTCCAAGCAGCTGGACTCTCAGGTCACTAAGTTGGCCCCTCTGTTTTTCGGTGGAGAGAAGAGGGCCCAGGCCTCCTGACCACTATCTTTGTGATGGGGAATAAGCCCCACCAGGTGGGGGCTCCTCAGGGGGTCAGTGCTGCAATGGGCAGAGCCTCACGTGGCCCAGCACCCATGCATGGTCCCTGCCCTGTGGAGCTTGCTGTGGCCTGAACAGGGATGCAGGTCAGAGCTGGTCACACACCCCGGTCCCAGACATTGCTTTATGCGCTCTTCCTGCCCCCGGAGCCTGCTCTCCCTGGTCCTGGAGCAGTGCTCCTTTTACTGGCCACTGTTTCGGGGAGAAGCCCCCAGTCCCCTGGGGGTGCAGCTGCTGGCAGGAGTGGTGGGAGTGCAGAGAAGGTTTTTGTGAGTATGCAATTTCATTGAAAACTTCCACTTTTGTTGTTATAAAAGCAGTACATGCTTATTATAGACAAAGAATGGAAATACAGAAAAAAAGATGAAAAACCACAGATAGTTCCATCATCCCACGGTTAGTCTCTATTGAGGAGCCGCGTGTTGCCTTGGAGACCTTCTCCACCGTGTGTATATAGATCAGGAGTTGGCAAGCATTCTCTGTGGAGGTCCAGAGGTAAATACTTCCACCTTTGCCAGCTGTATGGTCCCTGTTGCAACCGCTCAAGCCTGCCATTGCCTTGAGAAGGCAGCCACAGGCAACCCGGAGGTGAATGAGGGAGGATGTATGGCAATAAACCTTCATAGATGAACACTACATTTTGGATTTCATGTGTCACGTAATAGTAGTTTTATTTTAACCATTTAAAAATGTATAATTCAATCACTTGAGCCCAGGAGTTCCAGACCGGCCTGCTCAACATGGAGAGACCCTGTCTCTACAAAAAATACAAAAATTAGCCAGGTGTGGTGGCATGAACCTGTAGTCCCAGCTACTTGGGAGGCTGAGGTGGGAGGATCATTTGAGCCCAGGAGGTTGAGGCTGCAGTGAGCCATGATTGCACCATGATCGCACCACTGAACTCCAACCTGGGCGGCAGAGTGAGACCCCCATCTCAATATAATCATTTTAAAAAAGTAAAATTCATTTTTTTTTGTTTTTTGTTTTTTGTTTTTTTTTGAGATGGAGTCTGGCTCTGTTGCCCAGGCTGGAGTGCAGTGGCATAGTTTCGGCTCACTGCAACCTCCGCCTCCCGGGTTCAAGCGATTCTCCTGCCCCAGCCTCCCGAGTAGCTGGGACTACAGGTGCATGCCACCACGCCGAGCTAATTTTTGTGTTTTTTGTAGAGACGGGTTTCACCATGTTGGCCAGGATGATCTCGATCTCTTGACCTCGTGATCTGCCTGCCTCGGCCTCCCAAAGTGCTGGGATTATAGGCATGAGCCACCGCGCCCAGCCGTAAAATTCATTCTTTTTTTTTTTTTTTTTGAGACGGAGTCTCGCTCTGTCGCCCAGGCTGGACTGCAGTGGCGTGATCTTGGCTCACTGCAAGCTCTACCTCCTGGGTTTACGCCATTCTCCTGCCTCAGCCTCCCGAGTAGCTGGGACTACAGGTGTCTGCCACCTCGCCCGGCTAATTTTTTTTCTCTTTGTATTTTTTAGTAGAGACGGGGTTTCACTGTGTTAGCCAGGATGGTCTCAATCTCCTGACCTCGTGATCCGCCTGTCTCGGCCTCCCAAAGTGCTGGGATTACAGGCTTGAGTTACCGCGCCCGGCCGTAAAATTCATTCTTAACAGGTTGTGTGCAAAGGTAGTAGTGGCATAGATCACATGCCCTTTTGTACCTTGCCTCTTTTCACGGGACCCACACTACGGCAGCTCCGGCATCGTGATTCTTTGAGAATGACACTATTGTAGCTGCAGAGGCCTCATCTTACGGACATGCTATTTTTTTACTGAGCCTATCCCAATGGTTGGGCGTTTAAATTGATTCCTGTGTTCCCTGATGACAAAAACCCTATTATGTAAGTCTTTATGATTGATTATTTTTTCCTGAAAATAGACATTTTAGAGGCTTCCTCGAAAGAGTTCTAATGTTCCCCAGGAAGTCTCTGGGTGCACTACCTCTATCTCTTCTGTTGCTAATCCTCTGTGATGTGTGGTGAGATGTTCTGCCACTTTATTTGCCTTTTGAATTCTAAGTTCTGGGCCAGGTGTGGTGGTTCATGCCTGTAATCCTAGCACTTTGGGAGGCCAAGATGGGCGGATCGCTTGAGCTCAGGAGTTTGAGACCAGCCTGGGCAACATGGTGAAACTCCGTCTCTACAAAAAATCCAAAAATTAGCCGGGTATGGTGGCATATGCCTGTAGTCCCAGCTACTTGGGAGGCTGAGGTGGGAGGATCACCTGATCCCAGGAGGTCAGGGCTGTGGCGAGCCGTGATCGTGCTACTGCACTTCAGTCTGTGAGATCCTGTCTCATAAAAACCGAAAAACTTCTAAGTTCCGTTTTCCAAACAAATAAATCAAAATTGCACAATCCAATCAACTGCTCTTTTACTTATGTATTTATTTTTATTTTTAGAGATGGGAATCTAATTCTGTGGCCCAAGCTGGTCTCAAACTCCTCCAGCAATCCTCCTGCCTCAGCTTCCTAAAGCGATGGGATTATAGTTGTCAGTCACCACTCCCAGCCTGGTCTTTTATGATTTCTTGTTTTGACTTTTTAGAAAGTTTTGTTTTAGGACCCAGGAGACAATAAAGCTTATGGGCCAAAGGCAAGCAGTTCATGCAGAGGACAGACTTGAAGGAGAGGGAGCACAGGGTGGGGCAGATGGAGGGATGGGCTGCATGTGTTGAGGTGGAGGATGGAGCTCAGAGTGGGGCTGTCTGTCCTGCTTGGCCTCCATTTCCTTAGGAGAGCCCAGGGTCTGGGCGATGTGGGAAAGGACCACTTTGGGGCAACATGTCCAGGATGGCCGGGGAGGGGCAGTCAGGGGCCACTGTCTCTGCACGGCCAGGGCAGCCTAAGGAGCACCAGTGGTCCCAATGTTTGAAGCAGCCAGGTCAGGCGAGAAGACAGGACAAATGCTTCCTCTTGTCGCCTGCTCTGGGAAGATGACCGCTGTGGAGGGACCAGCTGGTCAGGGCTGAGAGGGAGCACAGCACTGGACAGGCCATGGCCTCATCCCCAGAGGGAAATGACCCAGTGTTTTTCGACCAAGTTGGATTCCAGGCAGACCATCACATAGCACACAGAAGGTAACCAAAGGAGCAATCCACAGAAAGTCTAACACCAAAATGTATAAAGCAGAAACGGGGACTCCCAGGAGGTGCTGGAGTGGCCGCTTTGTCAAGGTCCAGGACAGAAGGAACACGGCGCAGGCACAGATGGTGGAATTACAAAGCCAGTCTACTGTCTCTACTATCTAATGTGCCGCTGCACACTGAGAGGGTGGTGTGGCTGCTGTGAGCTGGATGCTATTGGTACCCTCTGCCCCTCACCCAAATACAGTAAGTGCTACCCACTTTCTTCACATGCTGCCCTCATCCTGCCAGGAACAAGGACTCCAGGGAAGGCCAAGTACAAATCAGAGACAGAAGCATGTGGACAGAGTTGATGAGGGAAGGGCAGGCGGGCCTGGGGAGGAGAGCCTGTGAGAGCAGAGGGTAGATGCCAGGCCTCAGAAAGACCCATCCTGTTTGTCTGTTAATGGCAAAACCTGGCACAACTGGCCGGGAGCGGTGGCTCACGCCTGTAATCCCAGCACTTTGGGAGGCCGAGACAGGCGGATCACGAGGTCAGGAGATCGAGACCATCCTGGTTAACATGGTGAAACCCCGTCTCTACTAAAAATACAAAAATTAGCTGGGCGTGGTGGCGGGTGCCTGTAGTCCCAGCTACTCAGGAGGCTGAGGCAGGAGAATGGCGTGAACCCGGGAGGCGGAGGTTGCAGTGAGCCGAGATTGTGGCATTGCACTCTAGCCTGGTGACAGAGCGAGGCTCCATCTAAAAATAAATAAATAAATAAATAAATAAAAGCTGAGAGTTGCATTCTCCACTCTGAAAAAGAGGTGGGTAAATACTCCCCATGTGTCTGGTGATGTCCTTTAAGGGGTGTATGTGAATATCAAGTTAATTTTTTTCTTCATATCTTCTTGTACTTTCCAAAATCTTCACAATATGAGTGTGTATTTTAAAAAACACACTTTATGAAGAAAAGTGTTTTCTAAAAAAAAAAAAAAAGTACATTTCTGCCTGGTTTTGTCTTGAGACCAGGAGGGGCCACAGCCCTGCTCACACTTAGCAAACAAAGCTAGGCCCTTACGGGCAAGGCTGGTTCAGGGGTAGCCCACCCTCACATGGAGAGGGATCTGTGCTTCCTTCCCAGGCTGTGCCATGGAGGCCCCTGCGTGCCCAGTCCTCTTTGTGGCACCTTTGGCTTCCCTGTCCTCCAGCACTCACTCTACAAAGTGCGCCTCCCCAGGAGACCTCCTGCCTTCCCTGGCCAATGCTGGGCCTTTGTGGTCAACTGGGCAGAGCCCTGTAAATAGGCCAACTGCAGAGGAGGGACAGGGAGAACTCAGATTGATAGAAGTAAAGGTTAGGTTCTGAAAAATAAGGGATTTTCAAATCCAAATGACCTGGCTGCATCCCACCAGCACAA